TACCATCAGCAGCTTGTACTGACAGCTGCCTATCCTTTTTTCTTTTTGTCGCCCAGGCTGGAGTGCAGTGGCACAACCTTGGCTCACGGCATCCTCTGTCTTCTGGGCTCAAGTGATCCTCCGACCGCAGCTTCTCACGTAGCTGGGACTAAAGGCATGCACCACCATGCCCAGCTAATTTTTTTTGTAGAGATGGCATCTCTCCATGTTCTCCAGGCTGGTCTTCTACTCCTGGCCTGAAGCAGTCCTCCTGCCTCAGCCTCCCAAAATGTTGGGATTGCAGGCGTGAGCCACCATGTGCAGCCATGCTTTCATTTTTTTTCTTTGTTTGGCTGTCACCCAGACTGGAGTGCCGTGGTAAAATCAAGGCTCACTGTAGCCTCGACCTCCTGGCTCAAGTGATCCTTCTACTTCAGTTTCCCAAACAACGAGGACCATAGGCATGCACCAACATGCCTAGCTAATTTCTTCATGTTTTTTGTTTGTTTCTTTGTTTTTGAGACAGAGTCTCGCTTTGTCACCCAGGCTGGAGTGCAGTGGCTCAACCTTGGCCCACTGCAACCTCCACCTCCTGGTTCAAGCAATTCTCATGACTCCGCCTCCTGAGTAGCTGGGATTATAGGCACGCACCACCACATCTGGCTAATTTTTTGTATTTTTAGTAGGGATGGGGTTTCACCATGTTGGCTGGTCTCGAACTCCGGAGCTCAGGTGATCCGCCTGCCTCAGCTTTGCAGAGTGCTGGGATGACAGGTGTGAGTCAGTGCACTTGGGCTATCTGGCTAATCTTTAATTTTGTTTTAGAGATGGGGGTCTCCCCTTGTTGTCCTGCTTGGTCTCAAACTCCAAGGAGTTCCAAGGATGGAAGCGATCTTCCTGCCTTGCCCTCCCACAGTGCTGGGGTTACATGTGTGAACCTCCATGCCTGGCCTGATTTCCTTTTTGATTGTTTATTGCTGGTGCATATAAATACAGTGTATTTTTATCTTGATCTTGTACACTGCAGCACTGCTGAATTCATTTGTCAGCGCTAGTAGTTTGTGTGTGTGTGTTTCTATGGAAGTTTCTATACATACTCATTCCATCTGCAAGGAAAGTTTCACTTCACCCCTTCCAAGGTAGATGCCTGCATTTCTTTTCTTGCCTGATTGCTCTGGCTGACTTGTTTTTTTTTTGAGACGGAGTTTCACTCTAGTTACCCAGGCTGGAGTGCAATGGCGCGATCTCGGCTCACCGCAACCTCCGCCTCCTGGGTTCAGGCAATTCTCCTGCCTCAGCCTCCTGTGTAGCTGGGATTACAGGCACGTGCCACCATGCCCAGCTAATTTTTTTTATCTTTAGTAGAGACGGGGTTTCACCATGTTGACCAGGATGGTCTCGATATCTTGACCTCGTGATCCACCCGCCTCGGCCTCCCAAAGTGCTGGGATTACAGGCTTGAGCCACCACGCCCGGCCTTCTGGCTGACTTCTGTACCATGCTGACGAGCAGTAGCTCAAAGGAGGTACTGGTGTCCTGTTCCTGATCACAAAGGGAAAGCTGCCAGCTTTTCAGTGTCACGCATGTGTACGTTGAGCTCTGGGTCTGCATTTTTCCTGCTTGGATTTCATCAAGCATATTGGATGTGTAGATTCATGTCTTCATCAAATCAGGGAAGTTTTCAGTGACTGTGCAAGTGTTTTCTTCCTCTTTCTCTGCTTCGGGGAGTTCTCATAAGGCCTATTTTGATAGGTTGATGGTCCTATAGGTCCCCTCCTCTTTACTCTTCCCCCCATTTTTCTTTTCTGTCTGTTGCTCAGACTGGCTAATTTCATTGACCCTACCTTCAAGTTCACGGCTGCTTTCTGATGCCTGCTGAAATCTACTGTTAAATGCCTCTAGTGAATTTCTTATTTTAGCTATTTTGATTTTCAGCCCTATATTTTGTTTGGTTTCTTTTTATAATTTCTATTTTCTGTTCTTTAAACTTTTTCATACACTATTCATATTTCTTTCTTTTTGGGGTCAGGGAGGGGCAGTGTCTTGCGCTGTTGCTCAGGCTAAATTGCAGGGCTGTGATCACAGTGAACTGAAGCCTTAACTACCCAGGTTCAAGCGGTCTCCCTCCTGAACCTTCGGAGGAGCTGGGACCCAGAGACATGCTAGCTGACTTTTTTTTTTTTTGAGACAGAGTCCCACTGTGTTACCCAGCCTGACCGTGGCCTCCCAAAGTGCTGAGACTGAAGGCGTGAGCCCCATGCCTGGCTTTCTTTAGTTCTTTGTCCCTGGTACCCTTCAGCGGGAGCATATTTAAGACAATTGTTTGTCTAGTACAATTTCCTGACTTCTTCAAGGATGGCTTCTGTCCACGTCCCCTGCCCCAACCTCACAAATGGCTCATGGTGTCCTGTTCCTTTGTATGTTTCTTTTTTTTTTTGGTGGGGGTGGTTAGAGTCTCACTCTTGTCGCCCAGGCTGGAGTGCAATGGTGAGGTCTCTGCTCACTGCAGCCTCTGCCTCCTGGGTTCAAGAAATTCTTCTGCCTCCGCCTCCCGAGTAGCTGGGATTACAGGTGGACGCCACCACACCTGCCTAGTTTTTTGTATTTTTAGTAGAGACGGGGTTTCTCCATGTTGGCCAGGCTTGTCTCAAACTCCTGACCTCAAGTGATCCACACACTTTGGTGCTGGGATTACAGGTGTGAACCACTGGGCCTGACCTAAAATACTTTTTTTTTAAAAAGTGTATACACCTTACTCCATTTTCTAGGAATCAAATGACATAAACCTCAGACTGCTCGATCTTGTCCTGCAAGTCACAGTTCATTTTTGTTTCCCAGTTTTTCTGTTTATTTACTGAATTTTTTCATTTGTTTGGTTCATTTCAAGAGCATCTGCCCTCACTTCACAGAGTGTGCTTAACTGTTCTTCATCTGATATTTCCAGTATCTGGGTCGTGTGAGAGTTGACAGGCGGTCTTTCCCCTTGAGGGTTGAGAGTTTTCTGGCTCTTTTTATGTTTAGTAATTTGTACCCTAGACATTTGGCATACCTTGAGACTAACCTAAGTCCTATTAAATCCTCTGCAGAATGTTGAGCTTTGTCTCAGCAGGCCGGTAACCGGGTTATGTTCTGACCGCATGAGCAGCCTCCTCCTGGGCTGTGGTTCTGTGTGCCTAGTTTCCCGTCTGTTGTGCCATTCAGGTCTACACCTGGCATGCACCACCCAGGGGCCAGTCTACACGAGTTCAGTTCACAGGGCCTTTGCCGCCTTCCCAGGCTGGTGCCATTCCCGTGAGCGTTAGGGGCTCTCTAACTCCTTTGTTGTGTCCTTTGATTTAGAGGCCCAGGTTTTAGCCTCTCTGCTGTTCCATTCCTATGACTAGGTCCAGCTTGGGGCCAAAGCGGAACAGGGATTTCCCTCACGCTGTTTGGACTACAGGTGCCCTGTTCTCCAATTCCTGTCAGAGTCAAGGGTTCTGTTGTGGGGAGTGTCTGCAGGAGGTTCCGGTGACTGTCTCTGCCTGGGATGAGAGGGAAGGGGGGATGAGAGGGAAGCAGGGAAACGTGTCTGCCTGGGATGAGAGGGAAGGGGAGATGAGACGGAAGGGGGGATGAGAGGGAAGGGGAGATGAGACGGAAGCGGGGGATGAGAGGGAAGGGGAGATGAGACGGAAAGGGGGGATGAGGGAAGGGGAGATGAGACGGAAGGGGGGATGAGAGGGAAGGGGGGATGAGAGGGATGAGGGGATGAGAGGGAAGGGGGGGATGTGTCTGCTCGGTATGAGGGGGAAGGGGGCCCGGTCTGCCAGGGATGAGAGGGAAGGGGCTGTCTCTGCACAGGATGAGGGGGAAGGGGCCGACTCTGACCGGGGTTGAGGGGGAAAGGGCTGTCTCTGCCCAGGGTTGAGAGAGAAGGGGGACATGTCTGACTGGGATAAGGGGGAAGGGGACATGTCTGCCCGAGATGAGGGGAAAGGGGGCCGTCTCTTGGACATTTTAACGTTCATCCCTAGTGTGTGGTTCTGATCGACTGTCCAAGACCAGACCCAGCCAGGGACACCCCTAGCATGAGTTATGGTCTTGCTTATCTGCCAGCTGCTACAGATTATCCACGCCTGACTTTCCATAGGACTGAGGTAGATGATCTGTTTATTCGGTCCACAGTTGCTCGTCATAACCCCTCAGAAAGACAGGGTGGTGGAGCCCATTAGGACCTGCTACAGGATGTTTCTAAAAACAGCAACTCTGTAGCCAGACATCAGAGGTCACCTGAGACCCCACCTTGAATTCTAAATTTTTCGTTGCTGTGGACACAGCTCAGAAAGGGAGCAACAAACTGCGTTTCCCAACAACACCCACTAACACAGCACGAGAGCACGCAGATGTGGGCCTGGCAGACAGTGTGAGTGGACGACTGCTTTGTCCTGCCACAGAGAGCCTCACAGGGTGTGTGCTGGACAGTTCTGTGTTAGGGGATCAGTAGAAGGAACGCAGCACTCCATTATGAACGCTTTCAGTGAACATGAAATTTAGGATCCATTTAGCTCCCAGAGTGGCCTCTGTGCCATCATTCTCAGCAGGATTTCTTCCCTGCTACCCTGGAGTGAGTCCTGACAGTGCCTTCACAATACAGACATGAGCACTCCACACCAGTCCCAGGAGCAGAAAGACCGGTGTTCCTGCACGGGAACCCGAATACCTAAGCACTTCTCCGGAAGAGCTGCCTTTTCATCGCAGGAGAAAATGTTTCTCCAGGTGCTGGGCAGTCATCTCCATCCTCAGCTTGAAGAGAAAGTGTTCAGACCAAGTAGTGACACAATCTCAAAGCAACTCTGACATCACAGATAAATCATCAAGACCCAGGCTGCCACTGCCTGTGATTGCCGCCTTTTCCGTGGGCACCCACTTAACGAGCTGGCCTGAGGGCAGGGCCGACGCTACCGGCCTTCAGTGTACTCAGAGGAGAGCATCAAGTTCAACAGAAAAAGTCTATCAAGAGGAAAATGATACTCTGCATTCAATTAAAATTAATAAAAATATTTTATTGAATTTCAGGAACTTGGTACTTTTTTAAAATTTCAAACCTTTGCACACACATCACCACTATGCCTTCTGGAATAGTGGTTAGTTAGGACCTGAAGATTGTCACTCATCTCCTTGCGTCACATAGCACAGAAATCCCAAGTCCTGACACTGCCCCCCTCCCCCCTCCTGGCCATGACTACCAACTACTCTGTTATTCTAGCAGAGGACAGTGATGGGAGTGGGGAGGAGACTGAAGGAGACCAACTGTCCACAGGCGCACTCCACTGCAGGGGGAGGAGAGCAAGCCGAGGATCGTGCGGCGTATACTCAGTGCACCATGTACCGTGGGCCACACTTGAGTTCCCGTTTGTTTCTCGTTTGGTTCAGGGCAAAGCTACTGAAATTAAGTCTAGTCCCTGAGGAGCTCAGAAGTTTGGCAAAGGTCAAAGCAGAGACTTCCTGAAAGTAAGACATGGAGGAACACAGTGGAGAGCTGGGAGTTCACCGCGACGCAGCTGAGGGCGACACAGGACCTCTCGGGGGTGCCGCAGCCCCAGCACCAGGGACTGGAGCCAGGACTGCAGCGACAGCAGCTCAGCGACCCTTGCTGTGCTCAAGTTCCTGGGGATTCAGAGCTCAAAGTGTAAAAACAGTGCCTCCAAGACGGGCAAGAAGACCTGGGGCGTGGAATCTGCTAACCTAGTCTTTCTCGCCTGGATCTTCTTAAATCCTACGTACCCATGAAAAAGCCAAGCGAACATGGCAGTGAGGAGGAGACAGGAGTGTGCACGCCTCCCATCTGCGAGAGGCACACTGGAGTCTGTGTTCAAGATGCAGAATGCTGCCTACAGCAAAAAAAGAAAAATTCTTTAACATTTAGAGTTGGGCATTTTCCTTACCTGTGATCCCAAAAGATCCAGATCCAGACCCATAAAGTCCATGTTCCAGGATCAGAAGTCACCAGTTCACGGACTGAGCTTACGCAGGGAGAATCCACCTGACTCCACACACAGCTGCATAAAAACATCTCCAGCAGAATATACGACGCATCCGCTTGGTGTCCAAGCCACGCTCCCACTTGGTGACCTTGCTCGAGAGCTGGTCTCCTGTCAGAGAACCCCACAGCTGTGACCGAGAGCTGGACCCTCTGTGGAGAGTCATGACCCCACACAGGACACAGCAGAATCCTAATTATTTTTACAAACTGCAAACCTTCTGAGTAAGACGACAAAAATATACATTCCAAGGTATCTGTAAAGTGCTTGGAAGATGCAGACGGCTGCACCGAGGGTCACTCCCTCCACACGCTGTAGTCTGCTGCGCTCACACACACGGTCTCAGTCACGTGATGCTTTCGTTTTTATTTCTTAAACAGCTGAGTTATAATCCAGCTAGTGTGCAGTAATTTCAACGTGCATCACAGTAGTGACGCTGCCGCAGCCCCATGCTGAGGGCCACACACAATTCACCCAACAGATTCATCATATTTGGTCTTTATGTAAATAAGTTTTTAAATTGCCTAAATATACCATTCTGAGCCATTTCATCCCACCAGGAAAATACAGGTTTTTTCCTCGCTAAAAAAATTAAATACCAAAATAACTACATTTAAATAAATAACGTTACGATGATGACATTAAAAAGCTCCGCATCAGGCTGCCGCCCTTGCTCCAAGGGCACTGCTCCTCGGCCCTCAGCCAGCACAGCACAGCACACTCGCTCCTTCGGGAAAGCGGAGCCAGGCGAGGAGGTGCAGGGCCTCCCACTCTCATTCCCTCACCCCCCCTCTCTCTTTTCATCTTCTGTAGAGGAGTCAGCCTCAGGACTGGCTTCAGTTCCGAAAGGTCAGGACGTTTCCTGCCAAAAATCAGGAAATGCCCAGATGTCCCCCACTCCACTGTGGATGGGGAAATCTGCCATGCAACAGGCGGCTCTAGGGCGCCTAGAGCTAGGAGGACACCCAAAATACACACATACACACCACGAGAGACCTGGGATCTTAGTTTCAAAAGGGCCTGGATAAAGGACTGAATCTTTTTTCCCAAATGAAGTAGTAATGGTTCTGTCGTTTTAAACATACACAATACTTAGGAGACTTGTTTTACTTTGAGAGTGGAAAATTTTGCCAGGGACAGTCAACACAAAGAAACAACAAAAAATCGCCAAAAGAGAACAGTTAAGTGCAGCTCGGTGAGTCCCGGCAGTTCCTTCCCAGCACCAGTTCAGCCCTGGGCTCTCAGGGTTCCATGTGGCCACAGCGTCTGTCCACCCGTCCACGCGAGCCACATGCTGAAATGGAGGTGGATGAAATTCATCAGGCAGCTGCTGTAACATGGAAATATGCAGGTGCCACAGAGTAGTTCATCTGAACTTTAACAAGACAGACAAAAAGAAATCATTCCATAGGCTGAAACAAAAACCTACGTTCTTTTCCCCAAATGAAATCCACTGAAAGGTCCTGTGTGATTTCAAAAGTCTGAGTAGAAATGGAGTGATGTGAAATGCCCAAGACCCCATGATTCTGTGAAGAAACTACACCTCAAAATACTCTAATTCCATATGTGAGCAACGGAACACCATCTCCACTGCCTGGTGGGTACTGTGAGGGTGGTGGGAAGGGCTCTCCCATGTCCCAAGGGCCTAGTACTGACTGCGCCGTCCCCACATGTGATGTCTGGTCCTCATGGGAGGATGGAGAGTTTTGCTCATAGGTAAAAGATGAGCCCAAAGGCAGCGGCCCAGCAGGTGCTCGGTGGGGGAGACACTGTCTCCAAAATCAGGTTTTGTTGTGTGCAGTTTTTGTTCAAGTGTGACTTCTGTCTTTAAATTAAGGAGTTTTAAGGCCACCTGGGTTTTGTGTTTTCAGTGCTGAGAGGTGAAGTCCAACCACAGGGCCCTGCACCCACCGAGAGCTGGCGGGAGGCGACGTCTCCTTTTGGCACCACAAAGTTGATACTGTTGAAGAAAAGCTCCCGTTCGCTAGTTCTGGACACCCTTTTCCCTTACAGCTGCCGGTTGCGTGTCCACACTCAGGGCAATGACAATGCTCTCGCCGTCTTCGGTCTTGATCCGCTTCAGCTCCGGCTGCTCCGACTGGTCACCGTTCTGGCGCTTTGTGGGCAGGGAGGCTGACGCGGACGCATGCGTCGCTAACATGTGCAAAGGACTTGCCGCTGCTGAAAAGACACAAGGGAGTCAGAACCCCAGGCTCTCAGATGAACCCTCGCCCGCTAAGAGGCCTCCCACAAGACCCCAGGGACTGGCCCATGGTGGCCAAGGGCACAGGAGCCTGAGCTGGGCCCTTGGGCCCCCCCCAGAAAACTACAGAAAGTTCACTGCCTGATTAGCAGGCATTTTTATTAACAGCTGGCATCATCTTTATGTCCTGTAAACAGGCTATTTTGATGTCACTGCTGGCGGAGAAGGGCTGAGTCTAGTAATGGCTGGGGCAGGAGATGGCTCTGCTGGCTTCCCCAAGGACTGGCTGCAGCTGTTCTCCCTGCCCTTGCCCCCCCACCCACAGGAGATGCTCCTGGACCATCCCCACACAGAAGGCAGCAGGGAGCCAACTGTTCCTTGGGAGAGAAGCACCGCGGTTTCTCACGGCTGCTGCTCACCTGTGCCCTGGGTCAGTCCACAGAGGTGTGCAGGGCAGGACAGAGACTGCTTGGCTGCTAACAGCTAACCAGGCTGCGTTAGTAATTCCAAAGGCAAAGCTTCCAAACGATGGATAATGTTACGTGCCAGCTTAGTGACCTATAGTGCCCCGATTTTGGCCAACCATTACTCTGGATGTTTCTGTATAGTTACTTCTTTAGATGAGACTAACATTCAAATCAGTCAGCTCTGAGTAAATCAGCTAACCGCCAAGACTGGGTGGGCCCCATCCAATCAGGTGTGAGGGACTGACAGAAAAGACGGAGGTCCTCTGAGGGGAAGAACTCTGCCACCAGACAGCCTCTGGACTCTTCAGAACTCCAACACTGACTCTTTCCTGGGGTTCAGGCCACCCTGCAGATGCTAAGCTGGACAGGCCCCTCAACAGAGCAAGCAGATTCTGTAAAATCTCTCTCCACACCGTCCCCTTGGCTCTGCTGCTCAGGCACCCTCACCCACCAGGTGCCAATGGGACCTGGCACCTCCAGCTTCCAGCACAGACCAGTCCTCCTCGTGGGCGGCCGCATTTCTGGAAGACGCCGTCACCTCCACTTCTCGGTGAGCCCCGTGGTACTCTGAGAAGCAGGGCCAGCCTCCAGGCTACGCACACACTGTCCACTGCACTTCTCCAACCTCAAACCCACTCAGAGCACCCCAGGAAGGGAGCGTGCACACACACTCCCAGGGGGCCCCAACCCAGCTCTACAGTAACCCCTTCCCACTGTCCCAGGAGCCTCACAACAGACACGCCTACCGCACAGCACCTGAACCCAGCCACAAACGCGGAACACACGGTGCACTCTGCCCTGGTGCCTGGAGGTACGGGAGGGGCACTTGCCCATCCCGTCCATCAGGGGTCAGCCCTCTCAGACCAGGGGCACTGGTGTGACACATATACCTCCCGCTCGCAGTCCCCTCCGTGGACGCTGCCTGGTCAGGGACCTGAGCTCCACTCTCAGCCCTTCCCCAGGGAGTGACGTGAGCTCAGCCAGAGGCATGGTCACAGCTCTAGCTATGAGGGTTGGGAACATGCACACCCCGTAGTTGGGGCAGCCACAAAGATGGCAGTCAACACCAGGATCCCAAGAGACTCAAGCAGCGAACAGGGACCCAGAGGCACTGGGGGTCTCAGCTGTCAGACCCCCGTTTGGGAATTCACAACATGGCGCCGAGGCCACAGAGGTGGGTTCCCTGGAAGATGCCAAACCCCTGTCAACAGTGTGGACATCTGACTTTATTGGGTTCCCTTTTCCTTTACATCCCTGAGCAACAGAAACAGCAGAAGACGAATTTACACATAAAAGATGAAAAAGAGATCACGCCTGTTATCCCAGCACTTTGGGAGCCTGAGGTGGATCACCTGAGGTTAGGAGTTTGAGACTAGTCTGGCCAACATGGTGAAACCCTGTCTCTATTAAAAATACAAAAACATTCGCTGTGTGTGGTGGTGGGGGCCTGTCATCCCAGCTACTCAGGAGGCTGAGGCAGGAGAATCACTTTAACCTGGGAGGCAGAGGTTGCAGTGAGCCAGGATTGTGCCACTGCACGCCAGCCTAGGTGACAAGAAAGAAACTCCATCTCAAAAAAAAAAAAAAAGGATGAACAAGAAGCTGCTCAGCTTCCAGAAAGCACAGCTGCCCCGAAGTAGGAAGCTGGTCTGAGGAAGAGGCTTAGAGCTCAACGAGAGGGCAGGGGAGGCTCCAGGCCTGGGGGAGGCACGGGACACCGCTGAGCCCACCCATGTGACCCAGAGGACTTGTGCTGGCTCAGCACTCTCTCAAGGAGACCCCCACATGCACCCAGACACCAGTGCACAGCCAATGTCTGACAAGCACCAGTACTCCAAAAGAGACAAGGTCCCTGCTGTGGTGTCAGCGATTGTCCCTTCAAAACGTGTGCTGAAACTCAATTGCCAATGCGGCCTAATTAAGAGGTGGCATCTTCAGAAGGTGACTCAACACGGAGGCTTTGCCCTCTGGAGTAACTTGATGCTGTCACCAAGGACAGGTTCATGATTCCAGGAGTGAGTTCATTATAAAAGGGTGACTACGCCTCCAGCCCCCCACCCCGTAAGCGCACAGGAAGAAGGCCCTCGCCAGCCTCCCGAACTGCGAGCTGATCCATTTCTGTCCACGAAAAATTACTGTCTTGGGTGTTCTGTTATGGCTGTGCAACATGACTGAGCCACCTGACAGAAGAGCCTCACCCTCACCAGGACTCAAGTGGACCCAGAGAATACACAATGACGTAGGCCAGCACAGTGGCTCATGCCTGCTACTCCAAGGGAGGCCACGGCAGGCAGATCACTTGAGGCTAGGAGGTTGAGACCAGTCTGGACAACATAGCAAGACACTGTTCTCTATAAAAAGTAATTTTTAAAAAGACATAATACTAGAAATTACAGCTTGACAGGAGGAATGTGTTTAGTGTCCTGTAGCACTGAGATGACGAGTCAACAATACAGTTTCAAACAGCCAGGACACTGAAGGTTCCCAACACTTAGAAACAGTGAATGTCTGAGATGACGGATGTGCCAATCACCGTGAGTTACACGCTTCGCCACATCACTATGCGCCCACACACATGCAGAGTTTATTCAATGCTAATTACAGAATAGCAGTGAGAGGCCAGAAGTGAAAAGAAACTGGGAGGCCGGGCGCGGTGGCTCACCTGAGGTCAGGAGTTCAAGACCAGCCTAGCCAATGTGGTAAAACCCCGTCTCTACTAAAAATGCAAAATTAGCTGGGTGTGGTGGTGAATGCCTATAGTCCCTGCTCCTCAGGAGGCCGAGGCAGGAGAACTGCTTGAATCCAGGAGGCAGAGGTTGCAGTGAGCCAAGGTCATGCCACTGCATTCCAGCCTAGGCGACAAAGCAAAACCCCATCTCAAGAAAAAAAATTTAAAAAAAGAACACTGTGACACGTTAGTGCTCCCATCCATCCAGCCCTGCCCCCAGAGCCTCTGTCGCTAGTTACCCACCACGGGGCCCCACGAAGACACCTGTAACACAGCAGCAGGGCTGTGCTAATAGAGCCAGCCCTGAAGAGGGAGGAGAGGTGGAGAACGCTGACAAGTCCTTAGGCCGCAGGGCCCTGGAGGCGCTGGAGCTGGTGATGGTGAGGGAGGGCAGTCCCTGGGGGAATAGGACCAAGAAGCAGATGCTCCTAACGAGGCCCACACGTGCTCTCTTGGGAAGGCCCTGAGCTCTGCTACTGGTCATCTAAAAAAGCTCAGTAAGACGTCCATCCAGCAAGCACTGCGAACTCTGGTTTGCAGTGAGGACCACATGGTGCCAGGAAGGAGCTCCTGGAAAAGGAATGTGACGTCTGAGCCCAAGTGGGCTGCGTGAACACAGGTACGGCACACAGGGGGCCACGGCTAGCACATGGGCCTGCAGCGACCCTGCCCCTGAGCAAGTGAGGAGGCACAGCGGTCTCCGCCCAGTGCCTGCTCCTTGCTGGCAGAACTCGTAGACAGGAGTGGCCGGTGTGTTCCGTGAGAGCTTTGAGCACAGGGAACTCACACCACGCCTGACAACTCCAGGGACCTTAATTTTTATGCATCACCTTAGCAAGCCCAGGAGGACTGCAAGACTTTCCTACCACGAAATGGAACCTGAAGTGACTCGGGGGGCGGGGGTGGTCATTGGAATAAAACAAACATGAAATCAAGGAATCGGCAGAGATCAGAGCGAGAGGGGCCCCGCTGGCTCTGCGGCACGCTCTGGGTTCAACACCGTCCCGGGTAAGGCACCAGCAGGCTTGGGGAGGAATTCTAACGTTCACATGGAAATGCCAAGGACCTAGACTGGCTTAAGTGATTTTTAAAAAGAACCCAAGTTGGAGGACTGACACCTCCTGCGTGGAGACTCGATGAAGCTTAGGCCCTGCCACACAGACCGAGCACAGAAAGTGCACCTGCCTGGAAACAGCCCCCACACATGCCCGGTCCCAGGGCGTGACAAGGACGCCAGGGTACCTGGTAGGGCAGGCATGTCCTGATGCCACCTCTGAGGCTCCGCCTGCACCAAGCATGGAAAACAGCCAGGGAAGCAGGAGCGATGAAAAGAGAACAAGCAGCCACCGAGAATCTGGGCAAGGAACGTGTCCCAGAACTAAGGCATCTGTGAACAGCTGCCCTAGCAACGTGAAAGGAAAGGATGGATGGACTCAGGCTACTGGAGGCTAAGCGGCTGTGGTCTATGACCCTCGGTGTGGTGGGGACCACGGCACGTGGCCTCAACTAATGGGGCAACCCGGAGCCACAAGGGTGGGCCACAGACGTACAACCAACTCTAATGGGGCAATGGTGGGCAAGGCGCAGATGCACAGCGTGACTCTGATTTTGAGTGGCCTTCGCCTAATGCTAACTCAGAAGTGCATCCAAGCTATAGGCATCCCTGACAACCTTCCACCCGCCCTTTCTCACCCAAGGTTCCAGGGAAAGCAGACATTCTATTGGCAGAACAAGCACATTTCCTGTTGTCTCCAGAAGCACCTGCTGGTCTGTCAGGATGGGG